GAAAATGTCAGCCTCTATTATGAGAGGAAAGAGACCCTTGCAAAGGAGACTCTGTAAGGAGTCCTGACCAGCCTGACCTGCTGTGCTCTTCCAGCTCCACACTGTATTGACTCTGACTCCAGCATCTGCAGTTCTTGTTATCTCCGAGGGACCCTCTAAGGACCAAGGAAGGAATAAGGCTCTGCGACTCAAATTAGATATTCTTAAGGGGAAGGAGACAGCTGATTGTAAATGCTGTAAAGGTCAGAGACATAAGGCAAGGCAACGTAAAAGAGATTTTTCAAGAATATGTTTCATGAGGCACGGCTGTAAAGGACACTGAAAAGACCAGAAAAGTAATTTCTACCAGAGCTACAGAATTGTGAAGGCCTCAGAATCTATTTAAGCTGGAAAAGAGAAAATTTACAGAAATCTAGTGAAAGAGGCTAGCAGAAGAAGTAAAGTCAGGAGAAATTAAAGATCAAGCAGGACTGGGATTCAGGAATTAAACTGTGATTTCAACAAGAAGATTTATAAATGCAACAGCAAAAGGAATTTATTTAACAACTTGTGTAGAAGAAAGTACTTGCTGTTTTAGATTGTAAATGGCAGGAAAACACAATATGACTTAGGAAAAATTGGAAAACTCTTGGCTCCAGAATTTAGGAATAAGCAGCTAACCATCATTTTGATAGTTGAAAAAGTGGGAAAACCCACTAAGCAGTTTAGAGATACGGTATTACAAAGAAACAGATTTTTAAAAAGCTTGAAAGTAGTAAATTATTTCAGACCAACCAATAATACAGTTTAAAACTTTATTTAAGAATTCAAACAGTTTTACAGAAATAGAGTTAAAAGACTTAGCAAATAAAAGAAATACTGTAACATTGCTGGTGTACAGATTCTAGCCAGCTCCACAGTCATTTGATTTAAAACAACATTGGTGAATATAAAAGCAAAGAACATCAGATTTACATGACATGAGACAGATTTTAAATTCCTTTATAGTTATAACATTCATCAGCACATTGAAAATGAAAAATACATCATATTTTCTGGTAAACTTAAGGGCAGAGAAGTACCATACTGAACACAAGATTGGACTTCAATGAGGCACCAGTTCTCAAGATACAACGTTGCTTCAAAATTAAACTAAGACTCATGGTGAGCAACAAGTTAACACATTATTATATTTGGTGGCTATGATTGCAGATAATATTATTAACAGGCAAAACATCAAAGAGGTGTAGAGCCTTTTTAAGAAATATTAAATGTTTATTGAAATAATTATTTTAATGTAAGATAAAGTGAAACTCTTGAATGAGAAAGATTGAACAAAGAAGTTCAGCTTCCAACATGAAGCGTTGAAATCAGATTTAATGAGATAGTAGGAACCATTTCAACACCTCCTCCCACTACTTGGACGACATGTCCATCCTGGGCCTCCTGCATTGCCACAATGATGCCACCCGAAAGCTGCAGGAACAGCATCTCATATTTCGCTTGGGAACCCTGCAGCCCAAGGGTATCAATGTGGTCTTCACAAGCTTCAAAATCTCCCCTACCCCTACCGCATCCCAAAACCAGCCCAGCTCGTCCCCGCCTCTCTAACCATTCCTCCCACCTCAAGCCCCACCCCCATCTCCTACCCACTAACCTCATTCCTGTCCGCCCTCCCTGGACCGACCTATCCTCTCCCTAACTCCCCACCTACATTCACCTTTACTGGCTCCACCCCCGCCTCTTTGACCTGTTGTCTCCTCTCCACCTATCTTCTCCTTTATCCATCTTCCATCCGCCTCCCCCTCTCTCCCTATTTATTTCAGAATCCCCTTCCCCTCCCCCATTTCTGAAGAAGGGTCTCGACCCGAAACGTCAGCTTTCCTGCTCCTCTGATGCTGCTTGGCCTGCTGTGTTCATCCAGCTCTACACCTTGTTATCTCAGATTTAATGAGAAATTGAATTTATGTTTAAATTCTTAATGAAATTTTATCAGATTTCTTACTGCCCAAGGAAGACTTAAATTTCATAAAGCTATTCAAATTCTGCAGGAATGAGAAACCAGAAAGACTCATAGATCATGGAAGAAGAAGGTCAACACAACCTCAAGAGAGCAGCAGAATTTATTTACCTTACACTGCAGGGACAATACAACAAGGCAAATGAAAAGCCTTCTAAGGAAACCAGCCAAACATGTAATGCAAAAAGAAATGTCAGCACTGCAGGACCACAAGGAATTACAGGTGCAGACAATGTCCAGCTATCACTAAGGAATGCTACATTTCCAAAACAGTAGGTCACTTTCAGAAGATGCAAAGATGTGGCATAGTTTCAGAAAAGCGGAAACAGCAATAGTCACACATGTAAAGAGATCTACTCTGTAAAAAATCCACCACTATTGGAAAAGATCTTACTATTTGATCAGATACTTCCATTGAAAAAGCATTTCTAGGGCTACCAGCCGATCCAGAAGGGACAGAGTTTGTCTCTACCAATGGGGATCCAGTTGGTTTTGTGCATGATACAGGGCAACGTGTTATTGTCCTATAATACCACTTACATGGCTGAAGAAGCAAAGATGACAGCCAAAAGGCATAAGGCTCCAGGTAGGATAACTGTCAGAAAAATAACTGAGGCGCTACAAGTTACTCTATAACAGAATGCACAAAAGAGAGTTGTAAATTTGTATGTTGTTCACAATTGGCTAACTTTACTTTTCAGCTCATCTGGAATATCTCAACCGAAACTTTGCAGAATCACAGAAGTGTTATGCATCAAAAGAAGGTCATTCAGCCAATAGAAGAGCTCTGGCTGTTCATATGATCATCATTACCTACTGTCAATATCCTGCTTTGTCCTTGCATCCTTATCGATTGTTTGGATTTAATTAATTGTTCAATGCCTTCTTGAATGCCTCAGTTGAATCAGCCTCATCCTCCATACGTCCAGGCAGTGCAATCCATACCCAAAGCACTCGGTATATGAAAATGTTTTCTCTTGCATCGCATTTGTTCCTTTTTGCCAACCATTTTAAATCTGCACCTTCTAGTTATAGAGTCACAGAGCTGTACAGCATGGAAACATACCCTTCAGCCCAACTTGTCCATGCCGACCAGATATCCTAAATTAATCTAGTCCCATTTGCCAGCATTTGGTCCATATCCCTCTAAGCGCTTCCTATTCATATACCAATCCAGATGCCTTTTAAATGTTGGAATTGTACCAGCCTTCACCAGTTCATCTGGCAGCTCATTCCACACACGCACCACCCTCTGCAAGAAAAAGTTGCCCTTTAGGTTCCTTTTGAATCTTTCCCCTTTCACTGTAAACATATGCTGTCTAGTTTTGGACTCCCCCACCCCAGGGGAAAGACCTTGTCTATTTACCCTATCCATGCCTCTCATGATTTTATAAACTTCTATAAAGTCACCCCTCAGCTCTGACGCTCCAGGAAAAATAGCCCCAGCCTATTCAGCCTCTCTCTGTAGCTCAAACCCTCCAAACCTGGCAACATCCTTATAAATCTTTTATGAATCCTTTCAAGTTTCACAACATCCTTCCTGTAGTAGGGAGCCCAGAATTCTTCATCCCTTTACAATTGAGCACAGTTTCTCCAAAACTACTCTGTCCAAGCACACATGATTTTGAAAACCTATGCCAGATCACCTCTTAGCCATTTTTCTTTCCAAAGGGAACAGTTCCAACATCTTCCATCTATCCTCATAACTGAATTTTTCCATCCCTGAACCACACTTTTAAATCAATTCTGCACTCTCACCAATGCGGTCACATCCTTTCTATATAGCTGGGACAATGTGCCACAAAATGGGATTAGAAGAGGTAGTAGGAACTGCAGATGCTGGAGAATCCGAGACAACAAGGTGCAGAGCCGGATGAACACAGCAGGCCAAGCAGCATCATAGGAGCAGAGAGGCTGACGTTTCAGGCCTAGAAAATGAAAATGAAACAGAAACAAAGAATTGGGAACCAAAAACAAAAATATCTGGAAAACTCAGCAGGTCTGGCAACATCCGTGGAGAAAAAGCAAAGTTGGTGTTTCAGGTTCAGTGGCCCTTTGTGAAGGCTGAAAGAAAAATTTGAAGAATTCAGTTCTGAAAATGGGTCACTGAACCCAACCCCTGAACTTTGCTTTCTCTCTCCACAGTGCTGCCAGACCTGCTGAGCTTTTCCAGCAACTTTTGTTCTGGGGTGTTTAATGAACTAGCACAGACACCATAGGCTGAAGGTCCTTTTTTCTGTGCTATAACAACTCTGTGACGCTATAATGTGGACTGCAGAACTATACATAATGTTCTGGATGAATTCTAACAAACGTCATCCTCATGGGAAGAGTTGGAAGAGGTCAACAACCTCCCAGAGTACAGCTGCAGTCTATAGGTGTGGCGCTGGAAAAGCACAGCAGGTCAAACTGCATCAGAGGAGCAGAAAAGGCAAAGTTTCGGGCTGAAACCCCTCATCTGAACTTGTAAGGGGGGAGTGGTCCAGATGGACTGAGAAGTCGAGGGATTATAAGATACAACAATTATTAGGTCGGAAGTGGTTCGGTGATTGATGGCTTTACTGTCCAATGAAAACGCGGACTGAAGAGACGGACGGTGATGAAAATCAATGAGAATGAGGGGCGGGATAAAAAGTGGCTGATTGGCAGTTTTATTATCCAATCCGAATGCGTAACGGGGAGGTGTGTTCAACCAACATGTGGGGGCGCTATCTTGTTGGGGCGATTGGCAAGACGTCTGTCCAATAAAAATCCAAAATGAACAGACGGGCAAAGATATAAACCAATAACAATGTGGGGACTGCCCATGAACGGGAAAGGTCGCTGGTTTGCTGTCCAATCACATAGCCGTGCTCGGAGCTTCTAAGAAGCGGGGGGCGGGACCCGAATGGAGCGACTGGCAGCTGTACTGTCCAATCAATGCGCAGTATTGTGGAGGCTGGTGCCGATGCCAGCCAATGAGGATGGCCGGTGGGCGGGATTTGAGTGGTGTGCGCGCGTGCCCTGAGGGGAGGGGAAAGGAGTAAACGGGGATGAGTCTTGATGGCGAGGGATCATTAGCCTGTAGAGTGAGGGAAAGTTCTTCATCGGTGTCCGTCTGAAGAGTTTGTCAAGGTGTTAGTGTCCGTGTGCTGTTGTGTGATGGAGTTGCGGGACCGGGAGGTGGCCGGGCCGCTGCCTCGGGGTCGGATGCTGCTGCTGACCCAGTGAATCGTCTCCGGCCTCAGGCCACCTTCTGGGTAAGTTTCAGCGTCTTTATAAACGAGTGGTATTAGAACGGCGGTCCGTATTGGAAATGATTTTGAGCATGGGGAAGGGATTTGCAAACGAAAATGGAAATAAATGCTTGGGGGAAAAAAATTCAACGGGAGGTTTCCAATCATTTACGCGAACAATGCTAGTACAGGCGCGATGGGCTGAACAGACTCCTTCTGTGCTACCTTGTCATCATTTGGGGATGGCGACTCCTGATAAATACCTTTCGAACGTTTTTAAAAATCGAGTGTGGATTTGTTGCAGATGTTGTGCTTATGTGGGCTTATGAATTATAACTTCCTATTTCTTGATTTTTGTTCTTTTCATCCTGGCCCCAAAAGGCCATCAACCAGCAATGTTAAGTCGCTGATTCCTCACCTGCTGCATGTTTGCAGCATTTTTGTCTTTAGCCCTTATTGCTATCGCCATCACTCAAACCTGCTCAGTGCCAGTGTGTCTCTGCCTACATACTTACTAGCCTTGAAAAGCAAAGACAATTTAGATTAATGCTGCTTGTGTTCAGAACTTTATGGTACTTTTGTTTAATGCTGAAAACAGTACTATGTGGCTGCTATGGAGACTTTTGTCCAAAAATGACAATCTGCAGTCATTTTTTAAAATAACCTTTGTTTCTCGAATTTTATTTAGGTCAGTTAAACTCAGGGCATTAAATCAGGATTATGGTGAAAGTCATTTTGAGAAAATGAACATTGACATTTTGAGGTGGTATATTCCAGATTACAAGGACCGGAACTAGGTTACCAGTATTTGCTGACAACCTTCTTCTGAAGGTGTTGCTTTGTACTTTGCCCAAATTGTCATCATCCACAGATGATTGACTTATTGTTAGTAGAGCCTTGGCAGAGATGAATGAACCAATTCAAAATGGACATTGATCCTGCTGCCAAATGTGGTCTGTTTATTTAACTGCCTTAAGCAACTTGCCCTCGGAAGAACAGGGTATTTCAGCTTTTCTGTATATTTCTGTGATCTCTACCCTCTGCCAACAATGGCACAACTCTACACATTTTGACCAGCTGTTTCCAGCATTCCTTTGCCACATTCTCAGTTGTTTGGAGAGCGAGCAGCAGGTGTCAAGTTGTTCGTTACTGTTTCAGTACCTGTTTATTTTGTGTTTGTTTATGTTACAAGTGTTCTGCATTCTGTTCCAGAAAGTGTTTAAATTTTCAACAAAGTTGAAAGCTGTTGAGAGCATGTTCCTGTGTCCTGGCTGCTAATGTCTTTACCAGGTCTGAATAGATTGGTTACCAGCATCCCTTAAAGGAGAAGGTGGTAAATGACATGGGAGCAGAACAGAAAATAGCAACACCATAGCCTTGAAAGTTGTGATATTTCAAGTGCTCATCCACATGACCATTTTCAGAAAAAAAAAGGTATGAGACTTCCTGCCTCTACCACCTTCCTAGGCAATGTATTCCAAGTTCCCACTACCCTCTGGATGAAAGAGTTTTCCTCCAATCCCCTTTAAACCTCTTGCCCTTCACCCTAAAATTATGCCCCCTCGTAACCCTTGAAAATTACATGGATAAGCGCTTGAAATGTTATAACACTCAGTGCTATGGGTAAATGCTGGAGATTTGGACTAGTGTAGATAGGTTGGTGCATACTCGATGCACTGAAGAGTCTCTTCTGTGCTATATGATTCTATTGATATTTAAAAGCATGGAGGGAAGTAATGGAATAATAGTCTCCCTTGGCTCATACTGTTTGTCGGTCATTGAGGGGAATTGTGTGAGCAATTGATTGAGCTCTTGTGTCTACCATGTTTAAATAGTCTGTCAGTGCTACCCAGGCTCAGACATATGAAGAATAGTCATGGACGATTGGTTATACCTCAGCAAATGAATGTTAGCACATTCAGGGCAAGAGCAACATGATTCTTTCTTTCTTGAAAAGGCACTTTGTCTGCAATCTCTGTGTTGTGACAATAAAGTTCAAAAATTAGCGAGCTGGAGGTTTATAGAGTTAGTGAGTAATCGTGGGAGGCTAGATTTGCAAAATATTTTGCTTAGTCTGCACTACTTCAGCACTTTATCACAGACGAACCTGTATTCAGCTAAAAGCGATGTGTTGGAGAAACTCAACCAGCTTGGCAGCCCCTGGAGAGAGAACCAGTGTTAATGTTTGGAGACTGGCTTCAAAACAGATTTATTTGTTTTTGTTGCTTTTAAAACTAATTGTTTGAAGTTCTGATGAGATTTTGGGAACTGGCTTTCAACTATTGAGTTAATCTATTACATGGATCCTCATTAGTGGGTTTAGATCTACATCTGGACACTTTAGTGCATTTGGCATATTTTAAAACATAGAATCCCTACAGTAGGGAAGCAGGCCCTTCGGCCCAACAAGTCTACACTGACCCTCAGAACATTGCACCCGGACCTATCCCCCACCACAACCCACCTAATCTACACGTTCCTGAACACTACGGGCAATTTAGCATGGCCAATCCACCTAACCTGCACATCTTTGGACTGTGGGAGGGAACCGGAGCACCCGGAGGAAACCCATGCAGACACAGGGAGAATGTGCAAACTCCACACACACAGTCACCCGAGGGTGGAATTGAACCCAGATCCCTGGTGCTGTGAGGTGGATCAGTGGTTAGCACTAATGCCATGCTGCCAGTTTTTTTTTGTAAAATTATATATTTCACTTTCGGAGTGCACAATTCTATCTGGTACAAGCAGTATGACTGGCTGCCCGAGTGAAGTTTGTTCATTCTCCCAGTGTATGTGTGGGTTTCCTCCCACAGTCCAAAGATGCGCAGATTAGGTGGATTGGCCATGCTCCATTGTCCATAGTGCCTAGGGCTGTGTAGGTTAGGTGAATTAGCTGTGGAAAATGCAGGGTTACAGGGATAGGGTAGGGGTTTGAGTCTGGCTGGGATGCTGTTCGGAGAGTCAGTCACTTATTGGGATGAATGGTCTGTTTCCCTACAGCATGTAGGGATTCTGTGGAAGTGTGTACTTGAGTAGAATAACTTCTGGTGATGCTTATTTAGATGCTTGACCTCACAAGATATCTGCAGCATATGGAATATGGACAGATGACAACAGAAAGCAGACAGTAGCAGTTGAGTAGCTATTCAGGTTTACAAAAGGTGGGAAGTGATGATTCAGAAGGATCGGTACTGAGACAACTGTTGTTCACTTTACAGAAATAATTTGCACTTGGAAATCAAATGTGCGGTTTCAGAATTCGCAGATGGCACTTGAGGGGACGGCGGTGTGGAGTTAACAACGAGGAAGATCACTGCACAGGACAATACTTGCCAAATGATTTCGAATAGATAAGCATGAGGTGTCATATTTTTAATGGGGAGTTCATATTGCTTCAATAATGAGTCTAAATAGAGTAGGGGGAAACACTAAAAGTTCTGTAATTAGACCTTCTCCTTTAAAGACAAATAGCAAACCAAATGGTTTGAGATTCATTCTCGAGAAGCTTGGCATCATCCAGAAAAAAAGCATTCTGCTGGATTGACACCGCATCCATTCTAAAGGAATGATATTGAAAAGCATAGACATTATGCAAACCTTATATCAAATCTTCATATAGACTACACTGAGTGTACTGTGCAAGGTTCTTGCCCTCCAGTTACGTACAGAATTCAGAGGCACTGAAGAAAGTGTGCAAACAGTTTCTTGAGGATGATACTAGAACAGAGAGGATGTATTGATCAGAAGAGATGGGGTGCTTTTATTTTTCTGGATAAGAGAAGACAGAGGGGTGACTTGATGGAGATCGTTTAAGATGTGATAGTCTAGTTTAGAGAGGATATTTCTGCATCATGGAGAGGGAAAGCTAGAGATCATTAATGATAATATTAATCACAGATAAATTCTAGGAAACCCAGGAAAAGATTCCTTTCCCAGAGCGTGAATAGAATTTGGAATTCACCATTACAATTTTCAGTTAAAGTGTACATAGAATCATAGAATCCTTAGAGTGTGGAAGCAGGCCATTCTGCCGATCAGAGTCCATACTGAACCTCTGAAGAGCATCCCACTTGGAACCCCCACCTCTGTAACCCTGCATTTCCCATGGCTAATCCACCCTACACATCCCTGGACACTACGGGCAATTTAGCATGGCCAATCCACCTAACCTACACATCTTTGGACTTTGGGAGGTAAGAGTGAAACTAGATGGGTGTGTGAGAGAGGGAAAGAAATAGATTTGTGGGAGAAGGCTGCTATGCAGAGTATATGTAATAATGTATTAATCAGTTGAGCCAATAATTCTTTGTGAAAGCTGTGCTATGTAATGAGTACGTGGCTTGACACAGAAGTTGTAGCTTCCTGAATCATCTTAACATTTAAATGAAAAGCTGGTTTGATCTGTTTCTGAGAACATTGTTCATGCATGTATCTAGCATTCACACTTGGATTTTATTTGAAATGAAGTCCTGCAACTTGAATTTTGGTTATTTGGTTATGAAGGACAGGAACTGTCTTGGGATGACAAATCATTTTTTTAAATTGCTAAAGTTTCCATTCTGTCTTGGAGCAGGCTTTCAGGCTAAACTCTCGCCCTCCTAATCAAGGCCAGATTATTACGGCCATATCATGTGTTATACTGAGCAGGTCTACCTGAGGTGTTATCACATTTGGCTGTGAAGGAGATTAATGAATATTGTGTAGTATTACCTGAATATTGAATTGATTATGTTTCCTCCTCTTCAGATCTGTGCATGTCTCCAGTGGTGACAGGAATGGATGTGACCAGCCGATGTACAGCTGGTGATCCGAACCGGCTTCCTGAAGGCCTGCCTCAGCCTGCACGCATGCATTACATCTCAGACAAACATCCCCGACTCACCCTGGATGCCATTAATCAACTGAGGAGAAACCAGGGTCTGTGTGATGTTGTGCTTGTGGTTGGGCTGAAGAAAATCTATGCACACCGGGTGGTGCTTGCAGCCTGCAGTCCTTACTTCCACGCAATGTTCACCAGTGAACTTGCAGAAAGTCGGCAGACTGAAGTTCTGATTAGGGACATTGATGAGCATGCCATGGAATTACTCATTGAGTTTGCGTACACATCACAGATCATTGTGGAGGAGAACAATGTGCAGACCTTGCTGCCAGCTGCCTGCTTGTTGCAGCTGATTGAGATCCAAGAAACCTGCTGTGAATTTTTAAAGCGACAGCTCGATCCATCCAATTGTTTGGGAATTCGGGCTTTTGCCGACACTCACGCTTGTCGGGAGTTGCTGCGCGTGGCAGATAAGTTTACACAGCACAACTTTCAAGAGGTGAGAAAATATGCTTCCTTGTCTGCTGTGATTCAGAATTACTTTACCTTTTTTCCAAGTCAAGCTTTTTGAAACCCCAAAGTAGTGACTGTAAAACTCAACAGTTGAGCAGCAGTATTGGAGGAATTTGGGATTAGTGCTGTGTCCTTTCCGCTCTTTTTTGAGGCTTCATGCTGATTGTATTAGGAATGCACACTGCCCTTGCTCCATTGTCTTTAGTTAGTCATCATGATGAGGCATTCCATGTGGAGTGCAAAAACATAAGTATGGCATTCACATGTTCTCATAGTTCAGTTTGGCTTCTGCCCCAGGGCCAATCAGCTCCTGACTTAATTGTAGCCTTGGTTCAAAATTGGAGAAAACAGCTGAACTCTATAAATGAAGTCAGAGTTGCTACTGTCGACATCATGTTAGCATCTAACAGTATGGCATCAACGAACCCTGGCAAAATTAATCAATAGAAATTTGAAGTGGAAGCTTTTGGTTTATTGAAGTGGCATCTAGTGGAAAGGAAAGTGGTTGTGATTGTTAGAGGTCAGTCATCCCAGCTCCAGGACACTACTGCAGGAGTTCTTTGGTAGTATTCTATGTTCGACCATCTTCAGCTGTTTCACCAAAAACATTCCTTCCATCATAATGTCAGGGGCTGAGTACATTTGTTGATAATTGCACAAAGTTCAGCACCATTCACAATTCTTTTGATATTGAAGCAGTCCATGTCCAAATGCAACAAGACCTGGAACAACACTCCAGCTTAGGCTGATAAATTGCAAGTAAAATTTGTGCCATACAAGTGATAGGCAATGACCATATCCAAAGAGAGAGAATCTAGGTGTGCTTTTTCATGTTCAATGCATTACTGTTACTGAGTTACCCACTATCAACATGCTGGGGATACCATTGACTGGAAACTGACTGGACCAGCCATAGAATACTGTAGTTATAAGAACAGGACAGAGGTTACAAATTCTATGACAAGTAACTTACCTCATGTCTCCTCAGTACTTGTCTGCCATCTACTAGGCATGTCAAGGGTGCAATGAAATACTCTTCACTTGCCTGGATTGGTGCAGTTCCTACAACACTCAAGAAGCTTGGCATCATCCAGAAAAAAGCATCCTGTTTGATTGACACCACATCCATTACCATTACTTCAACACCCACCCTGGCTGCCGCTGACTCTCAATGACAGCAGTGCGTATTGTCTACAAGATGCACTGTGACAACTCACCAAGGCTACTTTAGTAATTTCCGAGCCATCGACCTCTATTCTCCCAGAAGGACGTGGACAACAGGTGCATGGGAACACCACCACCTGCAAGTTTCCCTCCAAGCCACTCACCTTCCTGAGTTGGAAAGATACTGCTGTTGCTGGGTTAGAATCCTGGAACTCATTCCTAACAGCACTGGGGGTGTACCTATACCTTAAGGACTACAGTGGAAGATAATTGATGTGTAGGAGAGTTAACAGCATCTGATTTAATCTTTGTCAAACCAAGCAGACATATAAGGAGTTACACACATTTGTAGGTATAATTTTAAAGACCTCCTCAATTCTTGTTATCAGATGTAATGCTGCTTGATAGTTTGTCACCTTAACTGGTGTCTGAGTTTTTTTATATATAAATTTACGAGCAAAAGGAATTCCTTCTTCTTGCCATCTGATTTAAAACAGGCATTCGACCTATAATTGACTACAGAAGGTTATGGTAGTAAGATCTCGTAACTTAAAAGGGTGGGCCAGGTTACAGTTCAGTGATATCAGAGTGATATGGCTCCTGTCCTTATCCCCTTGGTGAACACTGCCAAGGGTCATAGCTGTGTTTCACTTGAAGTGCATCCATCATACTTCAAAGGATTATGCTTGACTGTGCAGAGGCTAGCATTATAGTAAAGATACCAACAAATCACAACTAAATATCCTCACTGAAGTTTTAAGAAGAAAATAGAAAATGTGCTTTTGTGTATATGGTTAATTGCTGAATTGGCCAATAGATCTTGTCAGTGACTGGTAGAGTTCTTGATTCTCAGCCAAAAGGTCTAGGTTCAGGTTCTACCTTGGGACCTAATAGTTGTGAAAGGTGTGTCATAACCCAACCAAACAGGTTAATTATCAATCTCTAAATCCCTCTGGTAGGCTTCTGGCAGGTATCAAAATGCAGGAGAGTTTCCTTGTCAGCTAGAACTGTGCAAAGGGTACAGTACAACAGCTTCTCCACGTTTTTAAAAAAAAAAGCGTTCAGTCACAGATTCTTGCCATGAGCATGCATCATCCTCGTTCTCGGGGGCTATCTCACACAATTGTGATCAGGGCCTGGCATCTCACTAAAGTAAAAGGAACTAAGGAATTAACAACATCTGACAAATCATTTTCCATAATAACAATTATTCTGTAATTGATTCCAAGGCATACCATTTCCCAAAGGTGGCACTTGAAATGTAGCTTCTCCTTTTCCCAAGGAAGGAAGACTTAAGAAATCATGAATAGTTTCCTCTGTGGTAATGCATGGTGCATTGTGCCAGTTTTTGTCCTTGTAATTGTAACGTAACAAATTTATACAGATGCAGTTCATGTTTAACCACATTCAGAAGTCAGCTCTGTGTAGGTTCCAACCTAACAAATCAGAAACTTAGTGCTAAATCCGCTGAACAGCTTTGTCAATCCTTACATCAATACATATTGTTATAAACATCTATATCTGAATATGCAAGAGATATTGTTCTATTCAATTCAGAGTATATCCTTTTGTACTGGCCTGAGATCCACTGTTATATTTTTGCACAAGTTTGGCTGCTTTGATAGCAACTGTCTGTGACTGTTCTGCTTTAGAGTGAAGTTGAATTCCAAATAACTTTGGGTTTCTCAATCCTTCTGTCCAGGTAATGGAGAGCGAGGAATTTATGTTACTGCCAGCAAACCAGATGATTGATATAATTTCCAGCGATGAATTGAACGTGCGAAGTGAGGAGCAGGTGTATAGCGCTGTTGTATCGTGGGTCAAATACAACATTCAGGAAAGGAGAGGACAACTTGCTCAGGTAACCAGAGGATAGTAAAGCCAGGTAATGGGTCGAAAATCTTGCTGTCCTTTCATCTTGGAGATCTGGATTTGAATTGGTATGTGATTAGTGAAATGAACGCCTACATTATTTGAAATAAATTTGACCAGTCTTAATCCCACTCCATGTGCCTACATCAAATTTGGTACTGAGGGATGATCGTGCTCTGAACCCATTACAGATGGTGTGGAAAGTAGATGTCATACTATACAGTAAAGGATATTCTGTTCTGAACCTAACTCTGCTGAATGTGAGTTAAAAAATGTGTACCATTGATAATCGATATCCAAAAAGGAAGCATTAATGCTACTCACCTTGGTTACCATATTTTAAAAAATTGAAAAAAAAAGAAAGAAAAATTTGTTAGAACTGTTTTAAAAAAAAATCCTCTAATTTGAAAATATTAGTGGTTTTAAGGAGTTAGCATTTGGAACTTTGGCATGCTAGTAAGAAAATTATAGAACTGTCAGCCTGGATAAATTCATCAGTTATAGTTTGTCTTGGGTTGTCATCTACTGTCTTGCATTAATTGACTGTAGTATTGAGAATACAGCTGGCAATGGATGAATTTGAATTTTTGAAAAACTGCCTAATACTAAATGTACAGAATTGTTATGCTGTATAAGGAGGGCATTTGTATCTGTGTGGGCTCTCCAAATGAGCAGTTCACCAATGCCATGTTCTTTCCGCCTCTGCCTCCTCCTATTATTCACTTCAATAAACCCTCCTCCTCTGTTTCACTCAAATTTAAGTTGATATGCACTCAAGCTCAATCTATACTCGTCACTATTCATAAAGTGAACACAATTGGGAAGATTGGTTGTCTTGTCTCCAAGCTATTTTAATTGCAGGTGTACAGAACAATTTAAAAATTAGTGCATCGGAAGGATTAGGAGAAATCAGATACGATCTGCCAAAAATGGTACTGAATGCAGGAGGTTGCAAACTCAGTTAAATAGATGTGATATTTCATAGGAGCATAGGAACAAAAGTAGCCCATTCAGCCCCTTGAGCCTGTGCCACAAGAGATCGGACAGAGTTCTGACAATTGTGTTGACAATTCAGATCCTCAGGCTGTAATTGGTTAGTGCAGGCCAGTAAGTGTTTGTATCACCTTCCATAGCAGCACTGTTCATGTCCTGTGGCCCAAGGCAGCCTCGGATGGATTTTTGCAGCTAGCCCTCTGCCTGTAATATTGAAATCAAGTGTTTGATACAGTGATGGGGAGAGTCTACACCACCCAGAGCATTCCACAGATCAGAATTGTGTAGCCAACTGATATCTTGGGTAAAGGTTGTTAAAATGAGATTGACATGGGAAATCACAGGTTAGGTTAATTCTGTTCTGAGGTTGGTGATGAGGCATGTTCTTGAGTCACCTTTTTATACTGCCTAACGCAACCTGGACCAATTTGAGGAAGTGAATAGAAATTGAAACAATTTTCCACTCCTTGCTGTTGATAGTCTGTCAATTTGAACATAGCAAAAGTCTTCTGCTAAGAGTAGACTCATTAGAGACATATTTTACAGCCTTCTAGTCTATACCTCCAATTAATATACAAAGCAATTAATAACAAGTAGTAGGAACAGGAGTAGGTCATGTAGCCCCTCAAGCCTGCCTTGCTATTGAACAAAATTGTAGCTGTTCAGTGTTTTCATTTGTGTGTGTGTGTGTGTGTACTTTTTGGCTATTTTTCTCCAGGTCTTGCAACATGTTCGTTTGCCGTTGTTGAGCCCTAAGTTCCTGGTTGGCACAGTTGGGACTGACACTTTGATCAAAAGTGATGAAATGTGCAGGTAGTGTATCTATGAATATGTATGTTTATCATGCAAAACACTGGGTCATACTGTACACAAGAGAACCTTGTAAAGCAGATTTTCTGACATTCTCTGCTAGTTTTTTTGCTTTGAGAGGTACAGTCCTGTGGAATCTTACAAAGTGAATGCTGGTGGCAGTATTATGTTATGTCTTGTATCAGATGTGCAACGTTTAAGAGATACACTGACATCATTAGCATATGATGGAATGTGACATATTGGTATGAAGGTTCCTGTCTCCATCTTACTGATCTCCAGCAGCATTTCTTTGGCATGACATGCTGAGGGAAGTCATAACGGACATCTGTAACTATGGGTGACTTTAACCTGCATATAGGTTGGGCAAATCAAATTAGTCAACACAAATTTAGAGTGTATATGGGATGATTTACTGCACCAAGGAGTCAACTAGAGAACATGCTGTCTTAAACTGGGTATCATGCAATGAGAAAATAATAATTAGTAATGTAGTTGTGGAATGAGTGACCATAACATAATAGATATTTTCATCACGATAGAGAGAGTTGATTTTTGAGACTATAGTCATGACTCTTAAGGGAAACTTTAATGGTATAGACCATGAGTTGACTGTAATGAATTGGGAAGTGTTACTGGAAGGAATGATATTGGACAGGCAATGGAGAACAAATGGGTGAAGTACAAAATGTGTTTATTCCTGTCTGTTGCAGGAGTGCAAAGAGAACAGTGGCCAAACCATGGCTTAGGAGGGAAGTTAGAGATAATATTAGACGCAAAAGAGCAGTATGTACATTGGCAAGAAAAAATGGTAGCAATGCGGATTGGGAACAGTTTAGAAGTCAGCAAAGGAGGACCAAGGGATTGATTTAAGAAAGGGAAGATAGAGGATGAGAATAAGTTTTGAAGGGACCATAAGAACCAACTGGAATAGTTTCTATAGGTGTATAAAGAGGAAAAGATTGAGAATTAATATAGGCCTCCTACAAGAAACAGGGAATTTTTATGGGGAACAAAATAAATTCATACTTTGCTCTGTCTTCACAAAGGAGACCACGAATAATGTACCAGAAATGATGGTGAACACAGGGTTTAGTGAGAGGGAGTACGTAAGTAAATCTGTGTATCAGTAGAGAAATGGTGTTGAAGAAATTGTTGGGATTGAAGACTGATCAATCCCAAGGTTTGATGATAATCTACATCCCAGAATACATTAGGAAGTGGCCCTAGAAATAGCAGATGCATTGGTGGTCACCTTCCATGATTCTTTAGACACTGGAAGAGTTTCTACAGATTGGAGGTAGTTAATGTAACCCCATTATTTAAGAGTGAAAATAGGGAATTATAGACAAGTGAGTCTGACGTTGGTAGTGGGGAAGATGCGAGAGTCCATTATCAAGAATTTTGTAGCAGAGCAGTTAGAAAGCACTGGTAGAATCAGACACAGTCAGCATGGAAAGGGAAATCATGCTCGACAAATCTACTGGATTTCTTTGAGGATGTAACTAGCAGAGTTGATCAGAGGGAGCCAGTAGATGTGGTTTGTTTGGACATTCAGAAGACTTTCAAAGCTCCATGTAAGAGATTAATGTGTAAAATTAAAGTACGTGGGATTGTGGTAGTGTATTGAGATGGGTAGAAAATTGGTTAGCAGACAGGAAACGGTAGGAATAAATAGGTTTTATTAAGAATGGCAGGCAATTATTAGTGGGGTCCTGCAGGGAAATATACGAGGACACCAGCTATTCACAATATATGCTAATGACTTCGATGAGGGAACTAATCGTAATGTCTCAAAATTTGCAGACAACACAGTTTGGTGCAAGGGTGAGCTATAAGGAGGATGCAGTATAATTTAGGTAGACTGAGTGAGTGGGCAAATGCATGGAAGATGCAGTATAATGTGGACAAGTGCAAGGTTATCCACTTTGGCATGAGACCCAGGTATCCACATGCACAAGTCTCTGAAAGTAAACATACAGCAGGCAATAAAGAAGGCAAATTATATGTTGACCTTCATAGCGAGAGAATTCAAGTACAGGAACAAGCATGTCTCTCTGCAGTTATACAGGGCATCGGTGAGGCCACACCTGGAATGTTTTGTGCAGTTTTAGTCTCCTTAACTGAGGAATGATGTGCTTGTTATAAAGAGAGTGAAGTGAAGGTTTACCAGATTGACTCCAGGGATGAGGAGAGATTGAGTCTGCTAGGGGATTGTATTCACTGGAGTTTAGAAGAATTGGAGGAGTTGGGATCTCATAGAAACCTGGCAAATTGTAACAGGCTAGATGGATCAGATATTTCCTATTTTGGGAGGAGGTGGTTGAGGGGTGGTGATGGCATTGGTGTTTAGTCCAGAACCAGGAATCATAATTTAAAGATCAAGGGTAAAGCTTTTAGGACTGAGCTGAGGAGAGATCTCTTCACCCAGAGTGGTCAGCCTGTGGAATACACTACCAGGGATAGTGGTTGAGGCTAAAGGGATGAAGGGATAATGTTGTGGCGGGGGGCAGCGTTGGAATTGGAATTAGGGTATTCCGCTCGATGATCATACTGAATGGCAGAGCAGGCTTGAGGGGTAAATGTTCTATTCCTATCTTTGTATGTTTCTATGTTTAGTGTGCACCAGTATATCTGATTTGCTTAGCTTGAGCACAGACACAAGTGCCTGTGATTGTAGTGTACAAGTGTGAATACCAGGAGCTGTATTAAGTTTGTTGAATTCTTCAGTACTCCTGCCCTATTGACTTACCCATCTATTATGGGAGCTAACATGAGTATCAGAGCATAATATTGGCAAATCATCAGTAAATTGCGCCTTTCTACCATGTCAGGCAGACCTGATTTTTGTCTTCATCTCACATTCACATGAACTTGCACCAAAAGCAACTACTTAGCTACAGAATAAGGGAACCCCAGCCGTTATTCTGTTTAACCCGGATAGTAAAGCCATCAATCAAGCCAGTGGAGAATTACTGACTCTGCACAAACCAGGGATCAAACATTGGACATTATTGTATAAGGCCTGCTCTTAATATAGATCAAGCTTCAACAGTGAAATATTAAAAGACTTTTCAGTACTTTTTCTCCCTTTTTTTTAAAAGAGTACAACAAGGAACTGATAAAGGAGTTCTCCACTTTGATGTTTAGAATTTGCTATTTACATTTCACTTGGGTGGGCGCAGTGGATTGCACTGTAGCTGAGTCATGCTTTATAAACCAATTAGTCTTAACATATAAATGTATGTTGTAGTGATTAGCTATTTAGTCCTCATTCTACTGATTTAAATAGGGCCAAGTGACAAGATAATTGTCTTGACCTTTTTACCAGCACAAACCTATCTTTAGAATTTAAAATGGCTGAAAATGGTAGTCACCTATATTTCTGTTCCATTTTTTAAAATTGCATTGATACTCTGTGAAGTTGCAAATATTTTGAGTGAAATTTAGCAATATTTTGGGAATAGGAAAGCAGCAAAGAAAATCTATGCAAAATCTGCACAGTTAGAAGGTTATGCTAAACTCATAAAAATAGCAATTTGTTATAAGATTTGAATGTTGAAATATCATCTGTTTTATTTGGACCTATACTAGTTCTGCTGTTGCTCTTTCAGCAATTGAAGATTATATCTGTAATAGAGTTGCATTGTCTTCACATTGCTGTTTTTGGGCATTATCATTATATCATGCGTTCAATGGTGTTTCAGTAAAAAGTGCTTCTTTTCAATCTGCCTGACACTGCATGTTTTTACCATCAGATGGAGACTCCTGAATTCCAGAAACTGCAGATCCTTGTAAAACCTCACACAAATAAGCCATGTGCCAGCTGACGCCTTGTTTCAGATGGCTGTTTGTCAACATGGAGCATATTAGGGAAGCTGTAGCTGCCCTTGACAGACTGCTTTAACTCAAGGAACTGAAGCTAACAAGTACACTTACTATAATAACCAAGAAGGTCAGCTCATGCCATTTAGACTGTTTTAGAGTTCTAAACTTAGTAGTTTCATGATCTGTGTGGATCAGCTGCTCAATGTCTTAATCCCTTTTGACATGCCCTTTCCATAAATTATTTCCAGTAATAAAAATGAACATCTTTTTAGATATGAATCTTCATTGTGTTACACAATGCTTAGGTATATAAACATACACAGTCTAGGCCTCCAGTATTCTTTCTTCGACTTTTTTGAACAGGGTAGTGCATAGTGCTGCTGTTTAGCTGTGTGGTTTTACAGAGCAGAGCTGAGTCTGTAGCTGCTTCCACAAGACAGCACGTTCCTCATTTGTTCTGTGTTGATTGGAAGAACGTGCACAGCTGAGACCAGTCACCTCCCTGTCTTGGCGCCATTCCTTCCACAATCATGGTAAAATTTAAGCACATTTCAAAAGCTCCCTCGAGAATTCTTGTCACCTGCTTACTGTTTGCCAAAAATGTGTGAAAAGAGACATGTCTCATTTGGAGTTTACAAATATCTCATTAACATCAACTGCTGTGGTTTGTAACCCCTAAACTTCTGGAAGCTATTCCACAGTGCCGTAAATTTACCATTAAAATTGTACAACATAATGAAAGAGCATCAAAGTCCTACTGTTATGCCAGCAATTGTATTGCTGTTTTGTAATATGAATATGAATATAAATATGCTGTTAAAAGTGTCAGTATAGTGTAGGGATTTCAGGAGAAACAATAACAGATTCACCGGCTCATGAAGGCACAAGTACTTGTTGGAATTGTCACACAATTTTTAACTAAACGGGGTGGGGAGGGGTTCACTACAAAAAGTGTTGAACATCATAGGGCATATTTCTTCAGATAGCTAAATTTTGCGTGCCAATGTTCACAACAATCAAAGTATACACATCTTTACTTTTGCAATATCCGAGGTACATTTTATAGAATTCGTATGATCACTGCAAAATTATTATTGGATTTTTACAACCTTTTATTGCATTTACAATTTTGCTGGTTTGTTTATGGCATCGAGGAATAACTTCCAGTACTTCAG